GGACACTTCGACATGTGGACTGCAGGCACCGAGATTCGAACCTCCAACCGGGAGACGACTGCTCCGCCCAATGAACCGTGGTCGATGCATTAACAACATGTTGCACTACCTAGCTTTAGGGACTTTTGTTGTCATGGAAACAGCCATAAATGCAACGGCTAGCTAGCAGGAAGCTAGTGGAACTCCATTGTCTAGCAAACAGTTTTAAATATTTGGAACAAAAACTCTTGAAAAACAGAAGCCACACAGTGGAACTGAAACCTGTGTTTTGTGCTCCCCAGCCTCTTCCCATCATGCACTTTGTGGCTCCATATACTACATCAACACTAGTTGTAGTGAATACAGTGGCCTATAAAATGAGGCGAGATTAGAAGGTCAGGGGGTTATCCAGCCATCTTTGGGCTTAACTAAGGATTTCTAGTATCACAAAAGTGTCTTTAACCTGAGGAAACCACCATGGTAACTGTGAGTTTATAACAAGGCCTCTAACAAACTGAAGACACCACACTTAATACATAGCTGCATAATCCTTACAAGATTCTGACAGCTGATGCTTTTATACTGTTATGTTTTGTCAAGATAAGTGAAAAATTTATAACTTCTATTGATTTTTCTTAGAAAAAATAATTACTTATCAGTAAATTATCTATTCACATAGACCTTATTGGGCATTATCCACTTTCTTTCTCCTCTTTCCTCTCAGCAGAAGCAGTCTAGGTTTAACTTTTTGAATATAATCAACACTGATAATAGTCTGTTCATCATGAGTCGAAACAGTCAAATTTATTCGCACCATATTACCGAACATGATGAAAATACCAACCATATTTTAAAATACAGCATAATTCCCATGCTTATTTATACCTTTATATCGTTGGATATTATTCCTAGTGTTTTAGTTAGTGAAGTCTGGTAATCCAAAGAGAGGCAGACAACAGCCCCACTGGTACTGGTTGTATTTCTCTTGAGAGATGGGGTACGTTCAACATTAACCTGCACTCGTCAATGATTTTAATCCAATTCACGGCCTGCATATGGGGATCATTTCTCACCTCCACCCCAGTAATTATTATAGCCAAGGCTACTTGCTGTTTCTCAGTGACCTTGCTGAGTCTCCTGTGATTTAAATCCAGTCCAGAGCGACATCCTTGTATTTTTAAGTAGCTCTGTGGTTTGCTTTTGGAAGAGCAGCTTTTCCTTCTACTGTTTTTTTTTATCAGTAAAATTTGACTTTTGTGTGAAAGTGGAGGAAGTAAAACATTTCTGCTAATATGGAACCATGCCAACACCAACATATAGGCCTATTCATCCAACCTAAACGACAATAAATGTTGATCCTCTACCTCAGAATACAAACCATAGCACCCTTTCAGTGACATCCTTACCAGACCCTTGTTATCATGGCTGTTGTAATGTCAGCTACAGGCCAGTTCTGTATTCAGCCAGGTGTTTTATGTATTTGTTTACATTTTGGCACATCGCCCCCATTAAAAGTACTGTATGCCAAACTACTAGCACTTCCTGTTTGCAGTGCATCCACTGATATATCGACAACTATCACTAGATTTTATTGATACTGGGGAAACCTTACAATGTGATGATTCTCAGGCAGGTTCTGAAGCACCCTTTTTAAAAGCAGATTTATGGACATTTATTCCTGATGAACCTTGGAGATAATGACAGTGTAAGAAAGTGTAAGTCGCACTGAATGATATAAATATGTGTTTCAAGTCTTCCCTGAGTTTTAACTCCAAGAAGGAGTACAACTTTTCCTCTCTGATTCGCCTCACGCAGTACCTTTGCCTCCCCTTCAGCTCTCCCAAACTTCTAGCTTTGGTAAATGTCCACGTCTGTCACAAATCATATCCTGTCATTTCATGATGATTAAAATGGAGCCTGGAATTACTATTTAAATTACTGAGGAACACGGTGAATACTTAATTCCCCACCTCCTGGTGTAATGTTAATCCTGCCTAAATGGGGCTTCAGCTGAATTTACTGTGATACAGTCCCCAGGGGGCAAACATGCATTAGAAAATACACACAAATAACCTTCGCATAGAGAAATTCATGCAGAGGCACAAAAATAAAACTCACTTTAACGTGAAGGAACAACAATGTGTCCTCAGGCTTAGCTGAAGTTGAAGGATGTAGAAAAGTGACAGTCTGGCCGAGCTCAATTTGGGCAGCAATAAGTCTATAATGTGACTTGCCAACTGATGTCTGAGAAATACATAGACATACAGTATACACAGCCTAGACAGTGAAGGACATTTCAAACAAAGACATACAGAGCGAGCCAGAAGATACAGACTACAAAAGGCTGTAGGGATGAAGCAGAACCTCAAGCATGTAAACATGAGAAGAAATTATTAAGTCCACGGACAAACCTGAATCAGACAGGTAAGAAAGTAGGAAACGGAAAGAGAGTTTATTCATCAAAAACAGACCTTTAAAGTAAATACAAGGCTGCGAGCCCTGACTTATCATGCAAAGTAACAGTCATTAAGTGTTAAATCCCACAGGATTTTTTTCCTGCCATGCCAGTCTCTCACTCCCTACACTGAATCATGCAATTAGACCTGTAAACCAACCCAGCACTTCACTCCCATCGCCTGCAATAAGGAAGCAGCCTGCAGGTTATCACTTCTCCGTCATAGAGCTTTTGTCAGCTATTCCGATTAGCCCACTTTATGCCATTTGAATCTAAATTAAACCATTCAACGCTCTGCATGTATTCCTTTATCCTCTTCTCAAATGATTTGTAGATGTTAGTGAGGGAAATGTGAAATATGCACATACCTTTTTATACTCCACATATGAAAGAGATAAATAATACACTACAAAGAAAGAGAGCAGAGGAGGGAGGTGGGTGACTTGTCAAGTGTCAAGAGAAATCAGCAAAGGTGTGAATAGCTGAGTTGTCCTTTGATCTAGTCTAACATTGTACGTCACAGATGGAAATCACGGCATGTTTATGTCCTATTTCAGGTAGTCATGAGTCTTTCATGCCCTCTGGGTCTTGCATTCTAAGTAAATAAGAACATCAAAGTTCTTCTCATTAAGACCTTTCCATCTGACATATTGTAGTGATCAAATTGCCAATTGTGACATGTATTAGCTGCTAATTTTCTGATTTCTTATTCATATTCTTTTACATTCTGTTACAGTATCCCAATTTCCTTTGGCAAGTTCAACTGCATCTATTCTGCAATGCGTAGA